CACAACTTTTAAGGCCAAAGGAAACAGAGGTGGCCATTACTTCTAACAAGCTTTGCTTTCTTGTAGGGTTCTTAATGCCCTCCTTGCTTCATGTATTCGTATTAATTGGGCAGAGGTGTATTTTGTGTATGATTTTATTTTCTTAGGTTACTGTAAATAAGAATGCTTATTTTACCCGCCCATGATGTGATAATACTGGCAAAATCCTTAAAGTTGATTTCTGCCTGTTTTGCTTTTACGAAGAGCTGTGGAAAGCATACTGAATAATTTGAATGTCCCTTTAGTTCTTGGCTTCATAAAGAAACATTCATTACCCTTTGGGGTGATATATTTGCTTATATTTTGTATGTATGTGTGCATATATTTGAAATCAAGGGAAGTCTGGGAGATACTGATTCATACCCATGAGTGCCCAAGTGAAGGTTTATTTCCCCCTTTAATGCAGGGATAGGCCATCTTGGTGGAGACAAAGGCCATTTTTCACATTTGCCAGAACCCTGGAGAGGAGTGGATAGGCAAATAGGCTAACTTGTGTAATTTTTTAAAATGCAGTGGTCATATACTGTGAAGGTTGCCACAGTGGGCCAGAAAAAGCTTGGACCCTGTCGTGGCCATAAGCATTTTTTTTAAAAAAATGGGGGTTAGGTTGTACTAGTCCTCCTTAAACCATGGTGAAATTGCTTCAATACCATTTACAAGGCAGAAGGGGACATTTGAGTAATTAAATAAGCTGAGAGTCCAGGGGGTCTACATGTGACCCATGTGCCACATTTTGCTTATACCTGGTGTAATTGTTTGACCTTTCCATATCTTCCAAATTCAGCTGTGTGTTTAGATAAATAAATTCACTTCCATATCTTCCAAATTCAGCTGTGAATAAATAAATTCACTTATTACCTCTGACACAATAGGCACCCTAGGGTCTGCGGAGACAGATCTTCAGCCCCTCCACACACACTCCCCCCCTAGACAGCCCTGCCCCTCCCAACTGGTCCACGGTATCAGAAAGGTTGGGGACCACTGCCCTGAGGTACTTTCAGTGTACTGGTCAGAATGGGGAATATTTAGTTTCAGATGTGCTCTCAGGCATAAAACAATACACTCTTTGTTTAATTTCGATATGCAGAATATTATCTATCGGTGGGATTTCCCCCCTCCCCTTCAAATTTGTGTCAGCCCTTTGTACCAGTTAAAGACTGAATCCACCACAAATCTACTTACCAGGTTGGGGAAGCTGAGGGCAATATCTTTAAGCTTGATCTTGCACTTCTCAAATTCAGTGGCAAACATCCTATAATTTAGATAGGCAACGTGAATGCCTGTATGTATTTGGCAGAGGATTTCCTAGAAGTCCTTACCTTTCTCCCAAGAGTAACAAGAACCTACTGTGAGAATAAATGGGTATAGCTACTACTGTGAGAATAGCATATAGAGTTTATCTGCAGATTTTTTTTAATGAGATACAGTGTATTTTTATAGAGAGACATATATGAAATATACACACGCACACATCACGTCTCTTGGAGATTGTGATTTAAAAAATAACATTGCAGTCACAATCATTTTCATGGCAATGGAAAAACAAGCGTAGCCAAAAGCTGCTCAAAGAATAACAGGGAAATGCAAAACAGTGCCAGCCTGGTTATTTTTCTAGAGTGCTTCATTTGAAAGAAATAGTGGTGCCTCGCTTGATGATTACCTCGTTAAACGCGGAAATTGCTTGAAGTTTTTGCAATCACTTTTGCGATCGCAAAACAATGTTTTAATAGGCAAAAATTGCTTAACGACGATCGGTTCCCTGCTTCCGGAACCAATTTTTCACTTAACGACGCTCTTTACAGCTGATTGTCGGGTCTTCAAAATGGCCACCCGCTGTTTAAAATGGCTCCCCGCTGTGTTTTAGGATGGATTCCTCGCTTTACAGGCACCAAAAATGGCTGCCCTATGGAGGATCTTTGCTGGATGCTGCGGTATTTCACCCATTGGAACGCACTGAACCGGTTTTCAATGCATTTCAATGGCCTTTTTTGGTTCACTTGACGAGGATTTCGCTTAATAACGATTTGAACGGAACGAATTATCCTCGTCAAGCGAGGCACCACTGGTACTATAGTGATAGTGTCTGTAGCCAAGTTTGATTTCTGTGACTAGGACATCATTCAAGAGTAAAACAGCGTAATGCTATATCTTAATTGCTGGTAAACAGCTTTAAGTGCACTTTTTTCAAATCACACTTCCATTTCTTGTTAGATTTGAAATTTCTAAAGCTTTGTGTGTGTGTGTGTGTGTCACTAATACAGAACTTTAACTTTTGTGTGAAACTGTATCTGAGAAAACAACTTTTGGTTGTTATTAAATAAATAAATATACCAGATATCATGATTCTGTACATACATCTTCTGATTCTATACCTGAATCATTCAAACCATCTGTGGCATTCACAAAGTTTTATTTTATTATTTACAGCTCATGCGAGTTTCTGTTCCTGTATTCAGTGTCAATTCTTTTGTGAATCCTTTCAGTTCTCCTTCAGACATCTGCCTTATTGGCATTCAACTTGGGTTTATCTGCTTTCATTCAGTTGAATGCTATGTTAAAACACTATGAATGCAGGAAGCTGTTATAGCCAGACTTAGACCAGTGGTTCCTCTGACACTAACAGCTCTTCAATCTTTTGACTTGTGCTGCTAAAACACTTAGTTCTGAGAACTCTATGTGGGTTTTATCAACAAACAAGCAAGGACAAACAAGTGATATAGATCTACCGTGCATACAAAAGTTAGAAAACACTTTTTCCTCACCTCTTTCCCCAGTTCCTCCAGCCTCTGCTGCTGAACACTGTTTATCCATATACAAACAAAACAAACCAGGTACATTTGCCACATACTGTTTTATTTACAGAGACAATTATTTACATAATACATGTTATGTAACATGATTGCACATGTGTAAATGCAAAGTTTTTGTAGTGAATTTAACTACATATAGAAGGTTAGAGCAAACCAGTTCTCACACCAAGGCTTATAATGTAACTTTAGGAGGACTATTTTGGAGGCTACACTTAACAAAGAAGAAAACTATTGTTTTTGAAAAAAATATTTAAAACAAGCTGATTTATATGCATAGGCAGTTGTGATGTACAGCTATCACTGGAGATCAGTCTACCTTAGAACCTCCTGGTAAGATGCCGATTTCCATTGTACTATACATAACCTACTGGGCACAATCCTGTCTTGAAACATTAAACTGGGATTTATTCTAGAATAAAATAGGCCATGGGCAGGAGAGTTTATAAGGAACTTTCTGTAATGCTACAAACTATAAATAGAAATATCCTCCCCCACCCAAGAGAACATCAAATATTGCTTGTAGCATCATTTCACCAGATTTAGCATGCCACATTTTACATCCATTGAACTGTGATCGGAATCCTATTGCCAATTTATAGTTCTTAAGGAATGAAGTCTAAGTCACTGCTGTTTCCTGTTGGTTGATACTGATGAGCTTTCCCCTCCACCATACCCTAAATGTGCCAATATGTACCGTCAGCAGGAATACAACCAGCATAGTTAAGCTGTAACAATCTGACATTGATATTTAATCCCGTTCCCTTTAACCTGAGTGCAAATTGGCAATAGGATTGCGCCCAGTGAGCCTGAACTCTTGATTAAAGAAAAAGTTCATTTCAAGACTAGAATATCATATGAGCAGGTACTGAACATGTACAAGGAAAAAATGAAAGTCGTCTCCTGCTGTTGCTAGTATCTCTGCCTCTTAAGTTTGCACCAGGAAACAAAAGAACCCTAATGGATGTCTTTACAGTTGCCATATACAAGGACAGCTTTTTAATTTATACTTTGTCATGAATGTTATGCTGTGCGTATAGTTAGTTCAGTAAGGTGCCGTTGTGGTAAACAAAAACCTACAGGTATGGATTCTTTAAGTTTAGACATTTAAATTAATATGGAAATTTTGCTAATTAAGGATTAGACTTGGGATAGTCACATTCATATCCCTGGGGATAGGAATACAGATACCCACACCACAGCTGCCTGAGAAGTCCATCCCTCTCTCTGAATTGGCAGGTCCAATTACTGGTCACCACGCGACTGGCATTGTTCTTGTTGCGTCAATCGCAGAATTAGCCCAGCTGGGACTTCCCTGCCTCCCCCTGGAGCCAAACACTCCGGTGAGATGAGGCTCCCCACTCAGCTGTTGAGCAGTTGGCTGTGCAGGGAAGTGCTGGCCACGTTACTTCTGTGATTGGTGCAATGAGAATAAGGCCTGCTGTGCAGTGACCAGTAATTGGACCTAGTGGGGGGGGCAGGGATTGGACATCCCAGGCACCTCTGGTGCTGTAATTTCTATTCGTATTCCCAGGAATATGAATATCCCATTTCTATTAAGGATGATGCAAACTGCTGCTCTTTTTAAACAAGATATCCACATCCAGTAAACCTCTGTAGAATTTTTCACCCCACCAGCAACATCACTATGAGTGAAACCAGCCTTGTAGTACTGGCACATATAGGATGTGATGGAAAGGAGGGGAAAGAAAAGCATTTTTTTTAAAATAATGATGCAATTGTACCAATGCAGTTGGTAGTTATAAGGCAAAGGATAAGGATCAGTAGTTATAAGGCAAAGTAAACAGCAGTACTTGAAACTTGGTTACAGTCAGGGCTGGCATTGGGAAGCAAACATCATGTTTGGAATAAGTCCACAAGACACAGGTATATGTTCACAATAGACTTTCAACTAGTCTATAGTAGATTTTGGTCTGGCTCTCATCTAGTCATTTTAGCTTATCAATTAAGGGTTCAAAAACTGATTTTTAAAAAGGAATACAGAAAGCAAGACTGATAACTTTCTCCTCTGGTTCAAAATATAATGGGCACAGCATCCTGGCTCAAAATTTTGCATATTAAGTACTATTACTTCAAGCTTCTATGTAACGTCTTAATATGCACTTGCTCACAAAACCTGGTAATGCCAGCATTACTGGCCAGACACAACTAAAAGAACTGATTTTCTCAAAGGCCAGAAAGAACAGAGAGTGGCTTCCTAGGCACAAACAACTACTCTGCATTTGGCAATAGGGAAGTATCATCCTGCTATGTGATAGCTCAGAGCAATTCTTCATAGTCAACAAAGAGCAAACATGTTTATTGAGTGCTGATTCTCCCTATAGTTATCTTAAAACAAACAAACCTTGGTATTTATACATGTTAAACCTAAAACTCGAGGGGCATCTGTTTAAACTACAAGGTGCTGCATTGTTGACTAATAACAATGAACATGTTAAAAGTACTAAGTCCAACACTTCTTTCAAAGATTACCATGTTAAATTACCACTGGAAAAAAGTTACAGCAAGTAAATTGAACAGGTAAACAAGTCCAGTAAAAATCCATCAAATCCATAGCTAAAAGTTTTACAACAGCAAACATCAGTGCAAAGACACAGAACATGTTAAAAAGTTACATCAGGCTACGTGGATTTTCATATTCCAAGCGGAGATCCCAGAATGAAAATTTACAGCAGGGACTTCACATACATGCATCCCCCCCCCCGAGATGATTAAAATTAAAGTTTCCCAGGCAAATGTTTTATTACTGTTTGTATATCAGATACGTATACAAATCTGAAAGTAATTTTTATATGGTTTAGTTACAGTACCCGGATACAGGGTGATCCGCTGCAGCTTTTTTCATTGTCCTCAAATTAAGAGAAACTTACTTGGCTGCTGGAGACCTCTAATGGTCTTAGGAATGCCTGTTAACATACCACCCCAAACAGCAAGAATTCCAAGGGAACAGTCACTTATGGTAATACTCCAGAAGTGAGCATACAACCAAAGACGTTCATCACCACAATCTCAGAAGAGCAGTGAATTTCTGAAAAACAAACAGAATCCTTTTCAAAGGGCTGCAAAGTACAACCTTATGATCCAATGCTACAAAGAAATCCAACTCTTCAAGTAAAAACAAAAAACAAAGTTCAGCAGCTTTCAGACTAACAAGTTTATTTCAGCTTTTGTGGATTGCCATTTTGTGGACTGCAGGCCACAAAAGCTCATATTGAAATAAACCTGTTTTGAAACAGATCAAGAGGTCCCTGTCCCCATGGTTTTAAAGAGAAAGGAAAGATGGGTTTGATGCTGGAGTCTCCTTTCTTCTTAGGTCTTGGAAGATGCAATGTAGTAGCAAGATACAGGAGGGCATGGGATCATCACGTGGTGAAACATCTTGGGTAGAAATAAAGTTGTTGCCAATCATGACAAATGGGGGGGGATGTTAAAAAATAAACTCCTTTTGGCCAGAATGGATGTAGTTGTATAAAATGCAGACCTCAGATGCATCTTCCACCATGTTTAACAACAGAGTCAGGGGGAGCACTACTTTCTATTTAGCACGGGAAAACCACACAGGGCAGAAATTTAACCTTTCATGAACTCAGTTCATGAATTGTATGGAAGCAAAATACCAATGTTTGGAAAAAAGGAATGCCTGAATACAACCAAGACATGTGAGAGGGTACAATCGGTTGGAATGTGTGTATTGTACCTTTCCAGCCTGTTCTCTATATCCCCCTCACTGCATGACAGCTTTTCCCTACGATGAGGCTCCTTAGGAATTGACAGCCCAACAAATGTAGTGTCAAGATAGGAAGGTAAGGGAATATTTTACTCAGAAAGGACCTCTTGACCTAAAAGTCAGGGGCTGGGATTCAAGGAAGCAAATTTCAGCACTTTCATTGTATTAGTGCTGCCTTGTGCTCTCTGATATTTCCATGTACAACTCTAGCAAGAGCTCCTGCCTGGAGCTTAGAATGGGTGCCGATGCGCAGTGTAGGCAAAAATGGACCAGATACTCCGATTGGGTTCATAAACCCAGAAAGCCACAAAGGCTAGCAAGAGCAGAGATCACACTATGTGCACTATTGATCTTGGACAGCCAAAGATTACTCCAAAAGGAAGTGGTAGGGCACCAAAAAAGACAGCTTCTCATTTGTAATGAGTAACAGCCCTTTTTTATATAACTTTTGACAAGAAATGGCATCTGGGCCACCTTTCTTAAAAATAAAAAAAGGCAAATGACCTTCCTGTAACAATCTAACTCTTCTTCTTCCCCCTCCTTTCCTATTAACAGACCATCATACCTTTGTGTGCTAGCGTGCACGGTGGCTTGGACAAGGTTTGCTGTGTCTGTACTGCATGATGTACACAGTAGACTGATGCCACCAATATAACATCACCACTGCAAGGATGTGCCACACTTGGTGGCTTGAGCCGAGGTAGTTTAACTGCCCTTGAGGAAGGAGAAAACACATGAATCAATCCAACGCTTCTTTTATTAATCCAAATGCTTGTGTGCAATTGGGCACTTCATATATATTTATTCCTTCCCGGATGATCTGGAAACAATCCTTTCCCCCTACCGACATGTGAAAGGTTGTCAACATATTCCTGGAAGTGGAGAAGACATTTTTCTCTTCCTAAGAAATTATTTATTACCACTGGGGCCATCCACTTCATCGATGGCTGAGGAATTCTCAGAGGCACATGGGTTGCCACTACAGGGATCTTGAGCTTCATGCCGTAATTTCTGATGCTCACACAACAGCAGGGTTTTGCCACTGTAACACTGAGATTCCCAGATGATTAAGCCCATGTGCCTTTAGCAGGTACACAATAACTTGGGCACAGCACCATGCCAATCCCAAGACTGCGGCCGCTATACAATCTCAATCCAAGAATTACAAAGTATGTGCCTCCAACAGTCTAATGAATAAGTGTCTCTACCTGGGAAGTATCTTTCTGGGACTTTGGAAATATAGAATAGAAATGCTATGGCAGCTATGAAGTACATCACAATTACACGGGGGGCAAATTCCTGGAAGGAAAAGGAGAAAGGTTAGTGCTTGTGGAGATCAGCAAGAACCAGAGTTAATAAAAACATGGACACAAGGAAGACTAATCTTTTTCAACAGAAATCAAGTCATAAGTAGGTCCCTAAAACTCAAATGTAAAGGGGCCTTATTGAGAAGCACACTGTCTTACCACTTCTGTTTGTTTTAAACGTAGGCATACTTGAAATGCAATGGAGTGTACTACCCACAGTATTATGATCTCTCCGAGTAAAATAAATAAAAAAATAAAAAATAAGATATTTAGAAATGAAGCCACAGCAGCAAATTCCCCCACCAAAAATCCCATAATGAAGGTCTTATTTTCTCTGCATTATGCCTATAAAAGACTTCATACAGGCCGAGGCAAAGAGGCAGTCCCAAAACAAGCAAAACCAGGGAGCTGGGCAGGGGACAGATTGTATTTGTCTTCAATGTGTCACTCTCAAATTGGCCTTCTCAGCCACACAAGACACTGTTCCAAGACTTCCATACACAGCACGTTACCACAGTCTCTTGAGACTGAAGGATGCCTACTACTATGCCTATAATTATCAAAGTAAGAGTTTCTAATCAACTAGTATTGAGATAGTGTGGAAGTTACTCTCACTGTTCTCCAAAATCCGGGGCTGAAATCCTGTTCTTTAGTTTACTAAGTGGCAATTACAGTAGGCCCATTGAATCACCAGAACTTACAGGGGAGGTGACTTACAAAATCCCCACTTACTACACTGACAGGATTAGTGTAGAAAGGAGAAAACACGATCTAGGAACAGAGATGGCCCTAATGATGCAGACAAAATTTATTTATTTGTTTTCTCTTTTTCTTCCTTTCTGAAGAAGAATTATGTTGGTTTAGGATTTCATTTTCTAACTTATTTTCAAAGGAGTCCCCATAAAGAGTCAATGGAAACTTATACTGGGATAAACGTGGGCAGGCCAGAATTGCAAACCTTGTAAGTATTCAGCTCACCTGCACAATTGATGCAGTGACACCACCATTAAGCCAAATCCAGTGGATGGTAGGAATAATTCCATAAATTGACACAGAGCAGAAGATGAGTGAGCGCAGCCTGTGCCACTGCTGAGTGAGGTAACTTGGGTGGATCTGAGCAAAAAACACTGCCAAGATCATAGCAAGGACAGTAATCAAATATACTTGACGCCAGTACTAGAAAATGGATAAAAAAAGGCAGGTCAGGAGACAGATACAAATAAAGCCTTCCAGGTCTTGAAAACATAAAAGCCATAAAGGCAGCACACTATTTTCACTTATAGTCTTTTTAAATATCAAAACATTAGAACCCTTTTAAAAAAGTGATATGTTTTTGCTGATCTAAAGATGCGCTGTTTCATTTGATGGGTTTTACTTCCCTGATAAATGAGAGCCTTCACTTAGAACATGCACTAACAATATTTGCCTAACAACAGTGAAGCTGCTCTCATTCCTCAGTCTGATTTGGATTAGCAATGTGGGAGTAGTCCAGGACATCATTCAATTTATGAGAAAGCAGCTCTCAAACATACTGCTCGGTTTCCTGTTTATCGTAATACAGCGTAAAACCCTTCTCCATGTGATTCCAATGTTGCTTTGGCACATAGTAGTGGAGACTGGTCCATTGAAACAAATGGAACTATGTTACATATTAACGCTTAATAGTTCAGCTTTATGCAACTTGTCATGGGGAAATGCCATACTTTCTCAGAATAAAGTTCAGCACCAGTGAAAATCCCTTCTGCAAGCAGGATTTATGGTGTTTATGGTGGTACTGTTTATGGTGGTACTGCCAGTTGCCATAAACTGCTATGTGCATCCACAGTTTTAAGCAATTAACTACTTTTTAGATTCATCTCTCTAAGACAGCAGAGGTGTAATGGAATTGGGCTACTATCATGGATCCAAAATTAAGGATATCCGCTGACAACTTTGGCTCAGCATAACTACCCTAAACTATTGTTACATGGGTAAGGAGGGTGAGGGCTTTGACTGACGTAGCCTGTTCAACCCTCTGTTTGCACAAATCGAATATGTTGTCTCCCTTAAACTTTGAGATGTTTGAATTAAATATGGCACGCTTATTCAGGACACAGTTCTGAATGAAACTGGAATATTAGCTAGGAACTGAATGTTTGTTTGTTTTTTTGGACTGCAACCCCTGGACTATGTCAAGAATTTCCCCCCAGGCAGAATTCTGGGAGAAGTAGCCAAGAAGCCTACACTTTATACTGCAGATTTTATGGGTCTCCATCACTGTTATTTGCCTTTCAAGAAGGAAACTGCTCCAACGCTGTCTGGACATGGCACAATTTCACAGGAATCACAAAGCTTCGTGGGACGGGTAGAGCTTTGAGAGGCGCCCTCTACAGAGCCTAGTGAGCAGAAAGACTAGGCTTTCAAATTTCCTTCTTGAAAGGTGATGGCAGTCCATGTGTACGCAGTGAAACACGGTCTGTAAACTTCTGGTTTTTGGATGCCTCCTTCAGAATTCTGTCTGGGGGAATTTGGGGCAAATTCTGGGAGATATAGTCCCAAAACTCCAGAACTCTCATCTGTAATGTCAGCTAGACCCATGTGCTTTTTTAAAAGGAGGTTACATCCCATGTTAAACCAGCTTCTCAAATTTAAATATTTTCGAGAAAGCTGGGGTTTTTTTTTCATTTATTTTCTTCACGGGGAAAATACATTTGATTTGAACAACATGCATCCTTAATAGCTTTTCCCTGCCAACCAAATTATTCAACCGCAGTGCAAGTCTGAAGGGCTAGAACATCAAAGGCAAAACTATATCAGGAAAGCCGCGAATGCCAACTTACGTTATTGCAATAAAATGCATAAAAGACTCCAGACACATAACAGCCCAGGATACCAATGGAAATCCCTGCATAATCCAAGGCCATCCAACGTCGACTTGTCTTCTCTGAGCGATGACAGCAGAAGAGGTGGTACCCTACTGAGCAAAGCATACAGACCTATAAAAACATCCAAACACATCGACATTAATTTCTTCAGGGTCTGATTTCATGGGACTCAAGCAATAAGGTACCAGATTAAAGAATAACCAGATTAAATTTGACTTTTTTTGGGGGGGGGCGGGGGTGTTTAAGATGAATATTAGTCCTCAATTATCCATAAAACATGTTGCTCTGACACTGGTGTTATTGGGGATGAAGGTCTCATACTACAATCGAGAATAGGGTGGCACCATTTAATTGGTTAAATAAATCATTTGAAACATTAAATTGACTTCCATCTTAGCTAGAGATCAACCTAACCAGGCTGCGAGTATTTTTTATTACCTGAAAAAGCTGCAGAGGACAAATCCTCTGTTAAGTGCATCTCCCTTCTCTCACATGCAACAGGAATACAGTGGTGCCTCGCTTAATGATGATAATCCGTTCCAGGAAAATTGCCATTAAGTGAAAACATCGTAAAACTAAATTAAAAACCCAACTGAAACGCACTGAAACCCATTCAATGTGTTCCAATGGGGTAAAAACTCACAGTCCAGCAAAGATCCTCCATACGGTGGCCATTTTTGCTGCCTGTATAGTGAGGAATCTGGCCCTAAACACATTGGGGAGCCATTTTAAGCAACCGGTGGCCATTTTGAAACCGCCAATCAGCTATTAAAAAATATCATTTTGCAAAGAATTGGTTCCCGAAGCAGGGGACCGATTATCGCAAAGCAAAAAAAAAACTATTTAGACCAATTGCTATCGCAAAAAGATCATCGTACAGCGATTTAGTCATAACGCGGGGCAATTGTTAAGCAAGGCACCACTGCCCCTATTTAGACCAATTACTATTGCAAAAAGATCATCGTACAGCAATTTCGTCGTAACGCGGGGCAATTGTTAAACAAGGCACCACTGTACCTGCCACACACACACACACGCTATCTGACAAGCAAAAGTATATTTCTCCCTTTCACATTATTGCAAGTGAAAACTGATAAAATGAACATCAACTATTTACGAACTGATTCACATGGCATAGAAAATCGTGCCCCTCCACTTCTGAAGCTTCAGAGGAAAGCTGTGTTCATACTGGGCTTGATCGTCACACACTTGCCAGGGAGCTGAAATGAGACGTGCTGGTCTCCTATTTAGGCCCAATAGGGTGCACCTAAGAAACATTTCTAGTTGTGCCACACAGAGCAAAGGTATACGGCTCTACCACTCAGGAACTGTTATTCCACTCACGACTCCAAAAGAACTTACTAAAGGCTATACGAATGGGCAGAAGTAATTTTATTGAAAAGTTCAGAGCCTGCACTTCCAATGCCCAGTAAGAAAAAAATTACTGTGGATGAAGAAAACAACAGGCTCATTATTCTCTTTTCTAAAAAAACAAGAGTTCCTCACATGGAAGTCATCACTATGCCAGGAGGATTGCTTTTTGAAGCAAAAACAGTTGGAGGAGGTGATTAACTGCCTCCTTTCAATGTACAGTTCAGCAAAACTTGCAGGCCAACGCTACGCATGCTTGCTTGCTTATTTCTTTAGGATCTTTTGTAAACTGTCTCAAGTTCCTTTTTTTTTAAATGATGTGTGACACAAATACTTACAAATACTTCAGGGGTAAAAAGAAAAAAAACACTAAATGCAACTCTTCTTTCACTAGTGAATGTGACTGGTGACTGAATTACAGTTAGCAGAACCCCACAGGCCTTACCTTGGGGTAAGACCTCCCTCCTTGCTCATCACCCTTCCCCCAAGGTTGGACTAGAGTTTATAAAGGGGCTTACTTGAAAACAGAAGAGACAAATAGAACAGATAACAAAATCTTCTCTAGAGGCACTCGCTGAAGGCAACACAGAAGTCATGTCGTATATGCCCAAAGTAAAGAAGAGGAAAAAGCCGAGTAAGTGACTCCAAATGTTGACTGTTTCATTGGATAAAATGAACAGGCTAGAACATGAAGGAGAAAACAACCATAACTGGTTTGCACACAATCAACTTTTATAGATGGCAGACCAATCCTGTTTTCAAACATGATGGCTGCCACTGTATCCTGCTATGAAAACTGGCCCGTATGCTGTCTTCCAGCCTAGTTCGGTATTTTTGTGCCAGGGCTATTTACAGTATGGCACAGGAATTATAAAAAGCAAAGCAAAAAGCAAAGCGTGCTGCTTATATACTGCCCCATAGTGCTTCAAGCACTCTCTAGGCGGTTTACAAGTTAATTATGCAGGCTACACATTGCCACCCCCCCAAGCGAGCTGAGCACTCATTTTACTGACCTCGGAAGGATAGAAGGCTGAGTCAACCTTGAACCGGCTACCTGGGATTGAACCCCAGGTCGTGAGCACAGTTTTGGCTGCAGTACAGCGGTTTAACCACTGCGCCATGAGGCTCCTAAAGCTTAATTCAACATCATGAGATATTGAAATCCTGCTGCTTACCATATGCCAAACTGCAACTTTTGGTCCATTCCTTTCTAGTAAACAAAATGATCTTGGGAGCACACGCATGCATGCACCAAGTCATGATGGGCTCCTAAAGACGTCACAGGAATGGTTTATTGGGGAAGAATGGACCAAAAGTTATGATTTGGCTCATGTCAAGCAACAGGATTAATCTTTTGAAAAAAGTTTTGCTAAGTAGCATCAGTTAATTTTCAGGTGGAGACTTCAATATTACGGGGTTACGCCATCTTTAGTATGAATTATTTTGACTAATCTTTCCATTTCCCTTCATACTCAGCCTACCATCAGAAAAAAAAACACTCTGCAATTGTCAAACTGGGTTTGTGTGTCTAGAAGAACATACTTGATAACAGCAATATATCAATTCAAGATCAATATATCAATTCAGGATCAATACTATTTTCCAGTCTTGACTAAAGTTATTCCTGGAAGTCTCTTCCTCTCGCCCCTTTTGACAAGATATAGTGTTGGAAATTCTTGAAAGCCCTAATAAAATCTCTGGGATTGCATTCAGTTGTTTCCTTGAGTGACGCTGATTCCTTCTGAGGGGCAACCCCAGTTACTGTGCCTCTACAACTTTCTGTAGACAAAGTCAAATTCTTACTTCTCTCACTCAAAGAGCACACTTTTAGATACTACAAGTGCCCATGAATAATGATTGGAGGTAGAGGCAATCAAGGCAAGCATTTGTTTAAAAAAGTGATTTCATTAAGACCATACAAGAGTGCACTCTGGAGAGAGAAAAAAAATCACGATTAAATAGATTTTTTTTATGAGTAGTGATTTATAGTAAAAGGTAAAGGTTCCCCTTGACATTGAGCCCAGCCACATCCGACCCTAGAGCGCAGTGCTCATCCCTGTTTCCAAACCATAGAGCCAGCATTTGTCCATAGACAGTTTCCGTGGTCACATGGCCAGTGCGACTAGACACGGAACGCCATTCCCTTCCCACTGAGGTTGTACAGTGGGGTCTTGACTTGAGAACTTAATCCGTATTGGAAGGCAGTTCTCAAGTCAAAAAGTTCTCAGGTCAAATCTGCATTTCCCATAGGAATGCATTGAAAACCATTTGATCCGTATCTGCTCTTTTCCGTCCATAGAACCTAATGGGAAGCTGCTATTCTGCCTTTGACCACTAGAGGGGGATATTTAGTTTCTTTTTTTCTTAGGTCAAGAAAGGTTCAGGGAAGGCAGGGAAAATACAGTCCAGGCAGTACAGTCCCAGGCAGTCTGAAGACTGTCTCCCAATCCACTCTCCAAACGCTGGGAGGAGTGAGGAAGCAGACAGGCACCCTTTTCACTGGCCAGCAGTTAATGGAAAGTTCACATTTCGCACTTTCCCTGCCTCCTACGTGGTTTTTTTAGTTCTTAACTCAAATCTAAGTATGTAAGTCAAGTCAATATTTTCCTATGAGAGTGGTTCTTAAGTCAAAATGTTCTTAACTCAAGCCGTTCTTAAGTCAAGACCCCACTGTACGTATTTATCTACTTGCATTTACATGCTTTCGAACTGCTAGGTTGGCAGGAGCTGGGACGAAGTGACGGGAGCTCACTCCATCGCGTGGATTCGATCTTACGACGGCTGGTCTTCTGACCTTGCAGCACAGAGGATTGTGCGGTTTAACCCACAGCGCCACCATGTCCCTACTTGTAATTTGTACCTCAATTTAAATCAAATCCATCCTGAGAGGATGCCAACCGACGTGCATCACACATTGCATCCTCCCATTTTGGCTCAGTCTGAGGTCTTGCATCAGTGCACTGCACCTGTGTGAACACCTGTGGGAGCCAAATTGCTTCAAAAATTAGCATAAGGAACAGGATCTCTGCCTCTTCCTTTTGAGATCTAATCAGCAGTCACATTCCCAACCAACAAAATGAAGTACTATTTCACACTGATAATTACATTAGAAATAATGTACTTGTTTTGACTAGCGGCTTTACTAAAGCAAAGCAGAAAACTAATGAAACAGAAATCTTTAAAATGGAACATGGCTTCAATACAACCTAGCTAGTAAATCTTAACACTGAACTACTTGGATCCCAACCTTTTAATGCACAGCCTGGAAGGCAAGTATGCTCTGTAGCCATCAGTGATGTAAGGATTATCTTTAAGGAACACTGGAATCTGTTCATAGGTATACAGCCGAATTCCTCGAGGCACCAGAACGGGCCAGTACTGGTAGCTTCCCAGCTCAATGTAATGAGCACTCTTCAGGAGTTTTTGATGCATCTTAGCAGTGTTTCAGTAATCAACCAAGGCATCAGTAAAAATATGGAATAATACTGAAGGCATCTGGCTTCTGCTATCCCTTATCTGAAAATATATGTTTAAAAAAACACAAGATACACAAGAGTGAATAGTACACTTCACCCATCTCTCATTAAACAGTGATGAAACTGGCTTTAAGGCACCACTCTATACATATCCACATATGCATATAGATTTACACACACAAATATAAATGAGTTGCTAAACAAAGCTGAGAAATTGTAACTTTTATGGTAACAAAAAAGACACTACAATACTAATAGTAACATAATAGTACTAGGATTAGCATTATATGGCATAGCATAAAGCTAATATTTATTTATTTAAAGTCTGATAACATTTTGGCTTCTGTCTTGTAAGAAGGCAGAAGTGTCATTATGCTTATAAGAATACTTTGATAAACTACATCTTTAGAAAAAAACATTTACTGTAATGCAAACTTTTTAGTTTTCTGTACTTTTATTCAGAGCAACCAAGGAAAGTAAAAAAAAAATTTTTTTTGGTCATGCCATTTGAACATTTCTGTTCTGTCCATCACCTTAATAATTTTTTTAAAACAAAGCAATTAACAGCACAAATCTGGGAGGCTGAGCAGATTTGCTTGAAGTGCTGTCTGCTGTTAAAAAAGTAGTCTCTGCATAGACACACAACTCCACATGCACAGTGCATTGTTTTCAACTAGAAACATTGTCTTGCAGTGTTGTAAGCCGCCTTGGGTCCTTTTCAAAGAGAAAAAAAGGCAGGGTAAAAATGCTCTAAATAAATGAATGAATTCCGTGGAAACATTGAAAGAAAACCGTGTGCTGCAACCCCTTGGTGTTTATTCGCACCTTGCTTGCTGACAGGCAGGGGTTGAGTCCTTCCAGAGGTAAGCACAAACAAAAGGGGGCTGGCATGGGAGGAATCATGCACATCTCTGCTGCACATTTAAGGATTACTGTAAATAATTTAAATTTATTAATCCAAGGTAGCCGCCCTAAAGGAGAGGAACGCTGCCCACTCCCGCAGGACAAGCATATTTATGTACTTATTTATGTATTTATTTATTTATTTAAATTATATCCCGCCTATCTGGTCCTTATGACCACTCTAGGCGGCTTACAAAAGGGCAGGTCCGGTATTTGGGAAGGAAACCCAAGCCTCCAAGGCCAGCAGGCACCGGCTACGCAGGGTTTTTAACAGGCTGCTGTCAAGGGAATGCTCTTGCGAGCGCCAGTTCCCCAAGGGGGAGTCTCCCAGAGGTGTTGGACTACAACTCCCGACCTCCCCCTGCATCCCGGGACAAGAGGTGGGGGAGC